ACCATCTACCAGCAGTTATCAACCATCTACCAGCAGATATCAACCATCTACCAGCAGATATCAACCATCTACCAGCAGATATCAACCATCTACCAGCAGCTATCAACCATCTACCAGCAGTTATCAACCATCTACCAGCAGATATCAACCATCTACCAGCAGATATCAACCATCTACCAGGAGATATCAACCAGCTACCACCAGATATCAACCAGCTACCAGCAGATATCAACCAGCAGATGTCAACCATCTACCAGCAGATATCAACCATCTACCAGGAGATATCAACCATCTACCAGCAGATATCAACCAGCTACCAGCAGCTATCAACCAGCAGATGTCAACCATCTACCAGCAGATATCAACCAACTACCAGCAGATATCAACCAGCTACCAGCAGATATCAACTATCTACCAGCAGATATCAACCATCTACCAGCAGCTATCAACCATCTACCAGCAGATATCAACCATCTATCAGCAGATATCAACCAGCTACCAGCAGATATCAACCAGCTACCAGCAGATATCAACCATCTACCAGCAGATATCAACCATCTACCAGCAGATATCAACCAGCTACCAGCAGCTATCAACCATCTACCAGCAGATATCAACCAGCTACCAGCAGCTATCAACCATCTACCAGCAGATATCAACCAGCTACCAGAAGATATCAACCAGCTACCAGCAGATATCAACCAGCTACCAGCAGATATCAACCATCTACCAGCAGTTATCAACCATCTACCAGCAGCTATCAACCATCTACCAGCAGCTACCAGCCATCTACCAGCTGATATCAACCATCTACCAGCAGCTATCAACAGCAATCAGCAGCTACCAGCAGCTATCAGCAGCTACCAGCAGCTATCAGCAGCTACCAGCAGCTATCAGCAGCTACCAGCAGCTATCAGCAGCTACCAGCAGCTATCAGCATCTACCAGCAGCTATCAGCAGCTACCAGCAGCTATCAGCATCTACCAGCAGCTATCAGCAGCTACCAGCAGCTACCAGCAGCTATCAGCAGCTACCAGCAGCTACCAGCAGCCATCAGCAGCTACCAGCAGGTCTCAGCAGCTACCAGCAGCTCTCAGCAGCTACCAGCAGCTACCAGCAGCTACCAGCAGCTACCAGCAGCTACCAGCAGCTACCAGCAGCTACCAGCAGTTACCAGCCGCTACCAGCAGCAACCTACAGTCTACCAGCAGCTAGCAGCAGCTACCAGCAGTTACCAGCCGCTACCAGCAGCAACCTACAGTCTACCAGCAGCTACCAGCAGCTACCAGCAGTTACCAGCCGCTACCAGCAGCAACCTACAGTCTACCAGCAGCTAGCAGCAGCTACCACCTCCACCAGGTGCCAGATCAACCAGGCTGTGATAACAATGTATGCCAGTGGACCACCAACAGCAACAGCTTGGTAGACCAGATACACTTTTTCTCAGGTCACGAAAATAGAAAATCACGAACCAACCACGAAACATCATGGAAATAAATCCACCCACTAATACACGTCATTGTATTATGTAGAGGATACAGTATACTACAGTATACTACAGTATACTACAGTATACTACAGTATACTACAGTATACTACAGTATACTACAGTATACTACAGTATACTACAGTATACTACATTATACTACAGTATACTACAGTATACTACAGTATACTACAGTATACTACAGTATATTACAGTATACTACAGTATACTACAGTATACTACAGTATACAACAGTATACTACAGTATACTACAGTATATTACAGTATACTACAGTATACTACAGTATACTACAGTATACTACAGTATATTACAGTATACTACAGTATACTACAGTATACTACAGTATACTACAGTATACTACATTATACTACAGTATACTACAGTATACTACAGTATACTACAGTATACAACAGTATACTACAGTATACTACAGTATACTACAGTATACTACAGTATACTACAGTATACTACAGTATACTACAGTATACTACATTTAATACTACAGTATACTACATATATATCTACACTACAGTATACTACAGTATACTACAGTATTTATACTACAGTATATTACAGTATACTACAGTATACTACAGTTTTACTACAGTATATTACAGTATACTACAGTATACTACAGTATACTACAGTTATACTACAGTATATTACAGTATACTACAGTATACTACAGTTATACTACAGTATACTACAGTATACTACATTATACTACAGTATACTACAGATACTACATTATACTACAGTATACTACAGTATACTACAGTATACTACAGTATACTACAGTATACTACATGTATACTACAGTATACTACATTATACTATCAGTATACTACAGTATACTACAGTATATTACAGTATACTACAGTATACTACAGTATACTACAGTATACTACAGTATACTACAGTATATACAGTATACTACAGTATACTACAGTATACTACAGTATACTATACTACAGTATACTGAGAGTTATACTACAGTATACTAAGTTATATTACAGTTACTCAGTATACTAAGTTATATCTAGATATACTGAGAGGTGTATATCTCAGTGTATATACACTGAGAGGTGTATATCTCAGTGTATATACACTGAGAGGTGTATATCTCAGTGTATATACACTGAGAGGTGTATATCTCAGTGTATATACACTGAGAGGTGTATATCTTAGTGTATATACACTGAGAGGTGTATATCTCAGTGTATATACACTGAGAGGTGTATATCAGTGTATATACATTGAGAGGTGTATATCTCAGTGTATATACACTGAGAGGTGTATATCTCAGTGTATATACACTGAGAGGTGTATATCTTAGTGTATATACACTGAGAGGTGTATATCTCAGTGTATATACACTGAGAGGTGTATATCTCAGTGTATATACACTGAGAGGTGTATATTCAGTGTATATACACTGAGAGGTGTATATCTCAGTGTATATACACTGAGAGGTGTATATCTCAGTGTATATACACTGAGAGGTGTATATTCAGTGTATATACAATGGGAGTGTATATCTCAGTGTATATACACTGAGAGGTGTATATCTCAGTGTATATACACTGAAGGTG